CCCAGTATCCGCAGTTCTTTGTTTTATTATAACAGTGAGTTACTTGCTTTTAGTTGCAGATTCAATTTCATCATGAAAGCTGTGTAGAAATATCTGAAATACAAGCTAAAAAAATGATACTTTACCAAACCACTGTTGCAAAGCTTTACCAGTGGGGTGCCTGGACTGGTTTTGAACTCTCACCCTGACCACTGGGGTTGGTAAGCTGTGTGACTGTGTCTCTATGATTGTGAACTTATTGGGCTGGAGTTTTTGAGGAGTGATAATCTCACGCAGATTGCCAGTCCATTCCTTTTTTACATCTACAGGGATGTCCACATTTTTGAAGGAGATTCCAGGTCATGGCTCCTTCAGAAATGTGGAGCCGTACTTCCATTCTGACAATTCTCTAATTGCACAGAAGGTCAGGGCAAGGTGAACTTTGCTCCCTTTTTTACAGCAGTCAGCTAGCGTATCCTGAAACGTAAGGGCCCAGGCAGCAACTTTGGTAGTTGCTATCAAGCGTTAAGTATGTAAGGTAAGAGTGCTGGAAGAAAAGTCTGCTAAAGAGACAGGTGAGAATTAGGGGGGCTAGGGTGTGCCAGTTGTGTAGGCTGTTAGGCATGCATGGTGCTAAGGGGTGGGAAGCCAGATGTGTAGGGGAGTTGGGTGCCAGGATAGCAGGTATGTAGGGTACTAAATGGTAAGGGTGTCAGTTGCGAAGTTTGTAGAATGCCACTTGGGAAGTGGGTAGGGTGCAAGGTGGTAAGTGGGTCAGTAAGTGATTCACTGCTTAGACTAGGTCGTGGTGGGAGGCAGAGAGGGTGGGGTTCAGCACCAGTGGCAGGGGTGTGGTCAGGTTCAGCAGTGAGGAAAGGGAGAAGGTTGTCCAGTGGTAGTAGAAGGGGTTCAGGGGCAAAGTGGGGGGTAAGGTGTTTCTGTCCAATGACAGGGGAAGGGTCTTCAGGTACGAAACAGGGCATGGGGATATCAGGCGTGGACCAGGACTAAGAGGTGTCAGGCCAGGGTCGGGTGAGAGCAAGCAGTCTGCCAGAGGTGGTGTTGGGTCTGTGAGCTAAGTAAGGCATCAGTTAAATAGTTACTTAAGAGTTAGATTATGCATTTAACTTTTCCAGAATAACTATTTACTTAACATCACCGGAATCCTCCAACTTTCCTGAAAATAAAGAACTTTCAGAGTCTTCCAGGTGTAGAGAAATTGCCCAGCAACACCTTCGGTTTCTCGGGCAATTCCTTCTGTTACAAGTGGATTCCCATGCACACGTCCCATCTATTACTGGAACAACGAGTGTCTGGCAATCAGAAAATCCGGGCCATTATATGTAGCCTGCTAAGCATGTTAACCTTAATAATTATAATTACACAATTCAATAAAATATAACAGAAATGATGTACAACACAAATGAATTGGAAATAGGTTAGTGTATTGCTATGTGAAAAGTGTACTGCATATCAGTAAAAGAACAGATACAAAACACTAAAGGGAACATAAAATTAGGAAAAAGAGACCTGCATCAAATTCCTACTCTGCTTCCACCTCTCACAACTCTGGACTAATGATCTGAAGTACTTGCATCCATTTAATTTCATTAAGATAAAGAAGACCAGCAAATATAACAGTGTAGTATGTTGGCCTGGTTTACTGATTTCTTCATTGTGACATGTCGATATCCTAAAAATTCATGCCCTTTATTTAACAATGTTGCAATGCTTAAGATGCTCTTTTACAAGGGTGTTACTGTCCAATAGAGAGTTTGTTTCTTATATTTATGTAAATAATTATTTGAAATAATGTCAGACTCCGAAATATAACAAAGCCAATTATGCAGCAGTGAGTTGGGTAGCACCTTCTGCCTTATAACTGCAGAACTGGGAAAACACACTCAAAGTTGAATTCTGTATTCTGTGGAAGAGAAGTAATGCTATGATTTTGTGGCAGCATTGGCTATATTATTATACAAAATGATGTTAATTAACATCAGTCTGTCTTACTCCTCATACCCCATGTGCTTTTGGTTAGGAGGTATTGAATTGCTGAATGGCTATATAAAACAGACACTGAGATGCCTGTCAGCTGTTCTTTAATGATCTCCAGCACTAAAACTAGATTTTCATTTTTTGACAATTCCGTGCATCTGGTTTTGGCTTGAAGACATGAAGTTTGTTTATAATTTTGTGCACATATTTTTCTGATGGATTTTTGAATTTAATTCAATACTTGTTTGGTATCCAGTTATGAGAGTAAGAGTCCGTTGACACTATTTTCTCCCTGGAGCTGCAAACAGAAAAGTCAAATCAGCTTTCAGTTTGGTCTTCTAATACTTCCTGTGGATTGCAAAGAAGAAAAGTCCAAGGCTTGTGGCTGGTAGCGCAATCTGTTGCATCAAATGGTGATTGCTTTCATTCTATGGGTAAACTTTGAAGCTCCTGAGTAAGCAGTCATATGGGCCTTTCTGTATTCCGACCAGCCCAGGCTAAAGTGCTGAAACAAATTTCCCCTCCATTCGCTACCATCCTGAAATATGTGCCCCCCAACTGCAACGGTCCTAATGCTGTTTCAACTATTCTAAAAAAAGAAAGGTACCCAGTGTAGACATGTACTCCACATGTATCTATACATCAGGGCATACTTCTCTTCATATTAGAGCACGGCAAGTGTTGCCTATACCATAGGCCTCTGCATCTTCTATTTGTATTACAGTCAGAGGAACACATTACTGTTTCTCAGTGGAATTCCCATGACTTGTCGATATACTTTCTAATCAACCTACTCAGAGGTTTTATTCAACACCTCTGGAATAAGTGGGACTTGGCAGGTGCACTTTTGCTGCAGGGTCCTGAGATGACTCTGCCAGTGCTTCCACTTGTATTGGTTGGCTGCTGCGGAACCCTACTTGCTTCTTGTGCGGTCTTCTAAAGAGATCAAACTGGATGAGTCATTTTTCTGTAAGTTGGAGTCTTTATCTCTATTACTCTCCCTCTGCTATTACCCAGCTGTTGGACTGTTCTCGCAAATGAACAGGCATCTAAGTTGCGATAAACCATCATCTAGCACTAAGGAGCTTGGCTTTTTGCTACTAAGATGCTTGCACATTGATCTTCTAGTCACTGATAATGAGGATAACTGCACATGTGAAAAGGCCTCTTATTTTTGGGAACTCCAATTCAGGAGTTATCTCTAACCATAAGTGTTCCAGAACCACCTTACGTACTGACACAGATGCATGACCAACAACTGCTGTGTGTTGTTTGACATTTCAGATAAGAAGTTGAACAGATTCTCAGAAGATGAAATGAAGACTTTCTTCTGTTAAATGAGTGTAATTTAGTGCAGTTTGAGCAAAAAGCAAACCATGGTGCTAGTTAGTAATGTGGTTATTTATTTCTTGGAGTGATCACAGCCTTGCAAGATTCTGTAGCCACCACACGGAGACATTGGCTGCACCTCTCCCACTCTCACCCTCACAACTTGAGAAACTTAAAAAAAAATGATTTCACTTACCTTCAAGGGTCCCAGTCACTTTCACACCAGCACTTCCCTGGTGGGATCTATTTGTAATCTTTTGGGGAGATGATGCATCCTACCTCACTGGCTGCATTGGTCTGAAACAAAAACAGAAATTGCTGGAGAAACTGAGCAGATCTGGCAGCATCTGTAAAAGAAAGCAGAATTAATGCTTTGAGTCCATTGACCCTACCTCAGAATTGATAGTAGCTGGGAAAAGGTGGTATATATTCTGAAAACTGGGAAGAAAAACTAAACAGATAGAGATTCAGCCCAGAGACAGAGAGAAAGGCAGTTTGACAGATGAAGGGATGGATAACAGTAAGCCAGGGAAGGAGGAAAACTGACAGTGGAGACTGTAAGTAAGTGAAAATGGATTGGTTGTGCAGAAACCACCCCATGTCATGACAGGGCCTGGGGTATGAGGCTGGGTAAAGGACATCAAAAGAGATGTTCTGTACTGAGTCTGCAGGAGGCTGCAGGAACCCCAAGCAGAAATTAAATTGCTGCTCTTCCAGCTTGCACTGAAACATTGCAGCAGGCCCGAAACAGAGATGTTGGTGAAGGAACATGGTGGTGTTAATCATAGATCATCATAGAATCCCTACAGTGTGGAAATAGGCCCTTTGGCCCAACAAGTGCACACCAACCCTCAGAGCATCTCACCCAGACCAATTCCCTTAACTCACCTAATCTACACATCCCTGAACACTATGGGCAATTTAACATGGCCAATCCACCTAGCCTGCACATCTTTGGACTGTGGGAGGAAACCGGATCACCCGGAGGAAACCCACGCAGACACGGGTGGAATGTGCAAACTTCACATAGACAGTCATCCGAGGGTGGAATCGAATCCAGGTTCCTGGCGCTGTGAGGCAGCAGCGCGAACCGCTGAGCCACCATGTCACCCCACTGTCCCGTATTGAAAAGGCAGGCAACTGGAAGCTCGAGGTCATTTTTATAGACAGAACTTAGTCTGGGTGACCATTTTGTGGAACACCCTGCATTTTGTCTCCCCACGAAGAGTCTACAATGTGAGCAGCGAATATGGTAGAGTAGATTGAGTGACATGCAGATAAACCGCACATGAGGAAGGAGGAAGTAAGCGGGCTGGCATTGCACCTTCTGCGATTGCATGAGAAGGTGCTGTGGAGGAGTGTGGGAGTGTTTGGAGTGGACCAGGGTGTTCCAGAGAGAACAGTCCCTGCAGAAGGCTGAAGGGAGGGGAGGACTACACTGGTCTCCTGGTTTATACAGGAGTGTATGAGTCTTCTACTTAAAAGGCAGGCCGTGACCAGTGGTGGTGATAATGTGCTAGTTTTGTGGTAGAATTTGTTTGATTCTATTTGCATTAATTTCTGTTTTAGAGCCTTGAAATATTTGCCAATGAATTTATATATATATATATATATATTCATTCTTTATTGTGAAGAAATGTTTTATACTTAAAAAATTTATTATATTAATAGATTACTTATTCCTATCTCCTTAGGCCATGCACCCTCGGACTATAAATTGCTATCAGTACATGTTATGATTCGCCATGGTGACAGGTATCCTCTCTATGCCATTCCGAAAACAAAGCCACCACCTATTGACTGTATCCTAATTCCCACTAGGTAAGTTCATTCATAAAATTTGATTAACATTAGATTGTTGTGACTTTTTGGAAGGACAGACAAGAAGGAAAGGGTGGTGGGTATTCTTGGTCTGGCATGGACTAAGTATGATAACAACAAATGACCTTGATCAGTAGATGTAGAACCAACATGGGTGGAGGTAAGAAATAAAAAGGAGGTGAAGACACTGGGAGGAGTTATATATAGGCCTCTAATACTATCCATACCGTGGAACAGAGAATATATCAGGAGATAATGAAAGCATGTAACAAAGTCAGTTATGTAATCATGGGTGACTTTAATCTTCATGTCGATTGGGATAAGCAGATTGGCAAAGGATGAATTCGTGGAGTGGAGCCAGGACAGTTTCCTGGCACAATATGTTATAGATTCAACTTGGGATCAGGCAGTTTTTGATCTGTAATGAGGCAGGTTTAATGAATGACCTTAGAGTAAAAGATCCCTGAGGAAACAGTAATCATGTTAGTTTATTTAGAGCAGAATAGACTGAGGAAGGGTCATTGGACCCGAAACGTTATCTCTGATTTATTTTCTTCACAGACGCTGCCAGACCTGCTGAGCTTTTCTAGCAACTTCTGTTTTTGTTGTAGACTGAGGGGGGAAATGATTGAGATGTATACTAGTGGTGTACCTCAAGGATCTGTTTTGGGGCCACTGCTGTTTGTCATTTTTATAAATGACCTGGATGAGGGCGTAGAAGGATGGGTTAGTAAATTTGCAGATGACACCAAAGTCGGTGGAGTTGTGGATAGTGCGGAAGGATGTTGCAGGTTACAGAGGGACATAGATAAGCTGCAGAGCTGGGCTGAGAGGTGGCAAATGGAGTTTAATGCGGAAAAGTGTGAGGTGATTCACTTTGGAAGGAGTAACAGGAATACAGAGTACTGGGCTAATGGTAAGATTCTTGGTAGTGTGGATGAGCAGAAAGATCTCGGTGTCCATGTGCATAGATCACTGAAAGTTGCCACCCAGGTTGATAGCGTTGTTAAGAAGGCGTACAGTATGTTAGGTTTTATTGGTAGAGGGATTGAGTTTCGGAGCCATGAGGTCATGTTGCAGCTGTACAAAACTCTGGTGCGGCCGCACTTGGTGTATTGCGTACAGTTCTGGTCACCGCATTATAGGAAGGATGTGGAAGCATTGGAAAGGGTGCAGAGGAGATTTACCAGGATGTTGCCTGGTATGGAGGGAAGGTCTTATGAGGAAAGGCTGAGGGTTTTGAGGCTGTTTTCGTTAGAGAGAAGAAGGTTAAGAGGTGACTTGATAGAGACATACAAGATGATCAGAGGATTAGATAGGGTGGACAGTGGGAGCCTTTTTCCTCGGATGGTGATGGCTAGCACGAGGGGACATAGCTTTAAATTGAGTGGTGATAGATATAAGACAGATGTCAGAGGTAGGTTCTTTACTCAGAGAGTAGTAAGGGCGTGGAATGCCCTGCCTGCAAAAATAGTAGACTCGCCCACTTTAAGGGCATTTAAATGGTCATTGGATAAACATATGGATGATAATGGAATAGTTTAGGTTAGATGGGCTTCAGATTGGTTTCACAGGTCGGCGCAACATCGAGGGCCGAAGGGCCTGTACTGCGCTGTAATGTTCTATGTTCTATGTTCTATGTTCATTACATGGTAGAATTTAACATTCAGTTTTAAGAGGGAGTAATCTAGGTGGGAAACAACTGGGCACAGCTTAAATAAGGGTAATTATAAAGGAATGAGGGCAGAGCTGTCTAGAATGAATAAGGAGAGGAGTTTAGCAGAAAAAAACAGTTGTGGAACAACAGCAAACATTTTAAGAAAGTAGGTCATACTCACAACAAAAGTATATCCTAGTGAGAAAGTAGGATCCTAGGAAGGTGTCATGCTAACCATGGTTAATACAAAGCCAAACAGTAAAAACATCCTTAAATATATAAAATGGAAGAGGCCAAAGTTAACATAGGTCCCTGAGAGAATGAGGATGGGGAAATAACAATGGGGAATCCAGGAAATGGGAAAGGTATTAACTAGATACTTTGCATCAGTAGCATTCCAAAATTAATAAATAACCAAAAGGCAACATGAGGAGAGGAAAACAATACAGTAACTATCACTGTACAAAGTGCGAGGGAAACTAATGGTGCTAAAGTTCAATAAGTTCCATGGAGCTGATGCACTATACCCTATGGTATTAAGGGGAGTAGTCACAGAGAGTGTGGATGCTCTGGTTGAAATCTTGCAAGAAGCCTTACATTCTGGAAAAATTGAAGAGGGATTGGAAACTGTCAAATGTAACATCTTTAATCAAAAAGGGAAGGAGTCAAAAATGCTTGATTATGCCAGTTAACTTTACATTTGTTGATGGGGAAATATTGGAGTATTATAAATGATGTAATAGCAGAACTTTAAGAAATGCATAAATGGTCAAGCAGAGTCAGCATGAAGGGGAAATTGTACCTGACAAAATTATTCAAATTCTTTAAGGAGATAGCAAGAGGATAGATGTAGGAGAAGTTGTAGATGTAACCTATTTGGGTTTTCATAAAGAGTTTGATTAGGCTATTTAATAAGAGCCCATGATGTTTCAAATTAATATGGATAGAGAATTGGCTAACGAATAAAAGACACACAATTGACTGGGATGACGACCTGTTACTAGTGGAATGCCACAGAGATCATAGCAGAGGCCACAACTATTTAGAATATAGATTAATGGTTGGATGAAGAAAGTGAATGTACTATAACCAAGTTTGTGAATGACACAAAAATTGTTGAGAAGGCAAGTGGTTAGAATGACAGACTTTACAGAGGGATATAGACCAGTTAAATCTGTGGAAAATATTTGGCAGATGGAATGTAATGTGGGAAAATGTGAAATTATGCATTTAACAGGAAGAATTGAGCAGCTGGATGTTACATAAATGGAGAAAGACTGCAGAAAGCTGTAGGACAGAGGGATTTGGGAGTCCCCGTATATAAATCACAAAAAGCTGGCATATAAATTCAGCAGGTAAAATGGAAGGCAAATGTAATGTTGACCTTTACTTCAAAGGGAAGATAGTTTAAAAATAGAAAGATCTTGCTAAGCTTAGGCTTTAGTCAGACTATGGCTGGAATACCGTGAAGAGTTTTTGTCCTTCAATAGGAAATATTGGCATTGAAAGCAGTCCAGAAAAGGTTCACCAGGTTGATTCCAGGTTTGAAGGGATTTTCATATGAAGAGAGGTTGAATAGATTGGGCCTGTACTCATTGGAATTTAGAAGAATAAGAAGAGATCATATTGTAATGGATAAGATTGTTGGGTGACTTGATAGGGTAGATACGAAGAAATTGTTTCCCTTGTGGGAGAGTCTAGGAGCAGAGGGCATAATCTTGGAGTAAAGAGTCATTCATTTAAGAGAGCGATGAGGATTTTTTAAAAACTTCTGATGGTAGTGAGTCTGTGGAATTCTTTACCACAGAGCGCTTTTGAGGCTGATTATTGTGCATATTCAAGGTTGAGATAGACAGATTTTTAATCAGTAAGGCGATCAAGTGTTATGAGGAAAAGGCAGGAAAGTGGAATTGAGGATTGTCAGGCCAGCCATGATCCCATTAAATGGTGCAGTAGACCTGATGGGTTGAATGGCCTAGTGGCCTAGTTCTGTTCCTATGTTTTGTTGCCTTATGGCGATTGTGAAATGATGTTGATGCTTGAAATAAAATGTAATCAGATTAAAGTAGGTTAAAGTCTCAAAATACAACACAGGCCAATATTTAGAAGTTTTCAAAAATGCAAATAAACTGTGGCTAATGCAAACATTCCAATAGAGCTTTGTTTTGTATAGTAAATAAAAATATTTACAACGTAGCTGAAACTCTTGGTAAATTTTGTGATGGAATAACAAACACTTAATGATTACTTGGTTGCAACAGATTTATCCCTTCTGGAGGATACAGGCTGTGAAGTTAGCCGTTGACTAATTTCCTGTGGGTTGTGAATTCCATATGCTGTGGCACTGAGGGTGAGGCATATTGTGACACAGAATCAGTGCAAACTATTTTGGAAGAGAATGTAGAACAGCCAGACCTCAAGATTCATGATTGAGTGTGAAAGCAAGGAGGACTCACAGACAGTCAGAGGCACCTAAAAGAGAAAGAGAGAACAACTCTAAAATAGTCACCAGCACCTAAAGGAACAGCAGAGAATGCAGACAACATATAAAACAATGTGAGGAGAGGCGAGAAAAAAGTCTTAATGACATCACAAGAAAATTGTGAATTGAATGGTTGTTTAAGCAGCCACTGTTAGAGACTATGTCACAACTCCAGTAATTTTGAACAATGTATATTTCTGAATTAACACAGTGACAGAAATAATTTATAGGCACAGGAGAGGAAGCTGCTTTGTAAGTAAGGGTGAAGAATTTCTGCTTTCTACTAATGACTAGTCAGGAGAGTGAAGTTAAAATAGATGAAGTAACTAAAGTTAAAGTAACTGAAAAGTATAAGTTAAGGTATGACAAGCCAGCTCAGCTAAGCAGAATGTCTGACCTGTGGCAGTTGGGGAGATGTAGACACTTCTCTTGACCTAAAACCAGCCAATGTATACAAAATAGCAAGGGTTGCACAAGCTTGAGCTCAAGGGTTTCAGACATCAAGCAGTGACGAGGTGCAACTGAGAGGCAGAGAACTATGTTAATAGCACTTTTGAGAGGAGGTGACACTCCAATTTAGGAGAAAGCAAGCAGATGGAGAATGGTTGAGCACTAGGCAGTCCAAGAGAAACAGACAGGTAATGCAGGAACCCACAGAGATCATGCTCATTCTGTTCTGGATTTTGGCGAGGACAATGGATCCTTAGAGGAGTGCAAGAACAGCCAAGCCTATGGTGCCACCAGTGGTTCATCTGTACAGGAAGGGAGGGAAATAAGTGGAAAGGCAACACTGACAAGGTACTACTGTTCAGTTAGGGAAATAGATAGGCATTTCTGTGACAATCAACTTGACTTCAAGAT